CACGGACTCCGACCCCTAAACTCTGAGCCCGAAGCCTAGCACCTGAGACCCTAAACCCTAAGCCCTACGCCCTACTTGGAGGGTCAGGGGGACTTAGTAAGTAGGTTAATAATGGGGATAAATAGGGTTACTATATGGGTTATAAGGGTTATTAACCTACTTATTAAGTCCCCCTGACCCTCCAAGTAAGCAGGTATCATCAGCGCACGCCTGCCTCTAGTTGCAAGGCACTGTGATTCTGTTTTGAGATGGCCTCCAGGTCGCTTCGCTTGCGGAGCCGGATCCGCTGTTCAGTCTCGTCCCTCGAGCAGCGCACCTCGGCCCTTTCGGCACGTGTGCAGGTGACAAGGATGGTGTAGGAACAGCAGGCGCAGATAGGATGTAGCAGATGGAGCAGATGCACTTTTCGTTTCAAAGCCAATGCTGGTCCAGGTACCTGCCCTTCCTTTTCCATGACGTGCTAGAGCACTTCAAGAAATCGGCGGTCGCCCGAATGGGCCAGCCGTATGAGCTGTGGTTCGACTACAATCACATAGCACCCTGGCTTATCCGAGCGACGGCTTGCCGAGAGCACGTAGCTCAGTGGTTCTGGACGCTTGCGTTTGTTGAGGCGCTCAAGTGGCATTTCCCGTTGGGGGTGTTGTGCGACGCCTTGGTCGGCAAGGAGGCAATGGGGCGTCTCGTGCAAACTCACACAGCCTGGCGGCTTTGCTTCATGAAAGTCTACAGCCGTTTCTTCCACTCATGCTCCGGGCTGTTTGAACTAATGAAAGCTACTATAATGGGGTGTATATGTAGGGGTTATATAAGGATAATGGAAACGAACATGGAAACTACTATAATAGGGTGTATCTATATATATATATGTATATATAGGTTATGTGATGCTGCAGCAAAACCCTGTCTGGAAGGTCCCTGTTCCTTTGGATCTCACAGTCCACTTCCGTGGAAATTCCCTGATGAAAGAGCTGCTGCCTTTCAGCTGCTGGGCAGGGTTAAGGGGTTTAGGGTTTAAATAGCAGTTTCCATGTTCGTTTCCATTTCCCCTATATATGCGCTATATGTATACATACACTCTATTATAGTAGTTTCCTAGTTTCCATTTTCTTTTTCTTTTCCATTATCCGTATATAACCCGTATTCTGGCATTGAGGGGTTGAGTCCACTGGGATATTCCTGCGAGTATCTCTTTTAGCACTTATTAGGGACCATAATCCCTATGTATATATTGTACATATATGCATATTCCCTGCGAAGCCCTACCAATTAATTTTTACAGGGCCATTCGATCTACCCTAGCATCTACACATGTTAGTTTCCATTTGATGTCCATTTGATTCTCCACTGTCGGAGTAATACACTTGCACATTTTTCAGGGCCCCTAAACCCTAAGCCCAGTTCAACAAGTGGGTCTAGCTGTGACCTTCTCCGTAGTCCTGAGAAGCATCCCGTCCGCTATGACCAGATTTTCACCTCGAAGGATGGTTTGAGTTTATGGTTTAGGGTTTTAGAGTTTTAGGGTTTGGGGGTAACAGTTGAATAGTATTTGTCATATAGTTATATATGGCCCTTGATATGACCCCTAACATAGACGGTTGCAGGGTGGGGGCAGTACCCAAATGATGGTGACAGTGAACGTAATAGTGTTAGTAATAGTGCTGGTAGTGGTAATAGTACCCGTAGCCGTGACCACGCAGTTGCAATATTCCTAATGATGAACATGATCGATAATCAATAGTAATCACAATAATCGCAACAGCATTCCCAAGCATTACTATTTTTGGACTGGATCTGCTTCCAACAGCAGCAGGTGGTATGGCAGATCTCCAACGGTCTGTCATGAATGCCTTCAAGCAGGCACGCCGATGCATGCCACTGGGTTTAGGGTGTAGGGTTCAGGGTGCAGGTCTTAGCGGCTTAGGGTTTTTTGGCTCAGGGTTTAGGGGCTTAGGGTTTAGGGCTTAAAGGTTCAGGGCTTAGGGTTTGGGGTTTCTCCGTCTTGTGCCTGACGAATTGCCTCCGCTCTTAGCAAACGCAACTGCTTTGACAGTATTAGGCTGAACCCTAATCCCTAAACCCCTTAGGCTTAGGGTTTAGGTATTAGGGAGATTAGGGTTTTGGGCTCCCCAAGCGCAAAGGCAAGACTTGAGACGTTGACCTTACTACAAAGGCCCGAACACTTGCCAATATTATGGTTCTGAAGTACTGATATAAGCATATTCTAGGGCACCTGGGCACCTCAACTGGAGCTCAAAATGATATTGGTAATTATTTAGGCCCCTACATTCCATCATATAACTCCTATGCAACCTCAGGGCCCATTTCATTTTCCATTTCTTTTCCATTTGACTGCAGTGGACAACAAGAGTTTAGGGTTTATGGTTTAAGGTTCACGCACTTAGTCTGTTTCACTGGTGCTCAAATGCAGCCCATCGCCCGCAAGGAGCAGAGCCCACTGGCTCAGCGCTCAACTCAATTTCCATTTGATTCCGTCATCGGGATACAATATCCCTATCTTCTCTCTATAAGCCTAAACTCTAAACCCTAAACTCTATAATCCCTAAAGCGTAAGCCCTAAACTCTCAACGCTACAACCCCTAACGCCTAAGCCCTAAACCCTAAACCCTCAACTCTAGAACCCCTAAACCCTAAACTCTATGATCCTCAAACCCCAAACTCTATCATCCCTAACCCCACAAACTCTATATTCCCTACACCCTAGACCTATATAATCCGCTACTCCAGGCCATCTTCCTGGAAGTTGGCTCTGCTTCTCGCTTCATGCGACTCGAGAAGATCCATGGCCCAACAAAGGGGGGCTCCTGGGGACCCTAGGGATTATGGCTCCTGGGGACGCCAGGGATTATGGTGTCCTTGTTGCTGGTGGTTTAGGGGTTAGGATCTAGGGTTTAGGGTATAGGGTCTAGGGTTTAGCGTTTAGGGTCTATTTTGAGAAATGGCCCGAAAATCCAGTCTTCAAGGTGTCATGTCACCGGGATCGAGATTCATGGGCGGGTATGGTGCTTTATGCCGTGGACGCTCCTTTCAAACCCTAAACCCTAAACCCTAAACCGCGAGGAAAGAACACATGATGCTCTGGGACGCGATACTCCGCAGCGACATCCGAAGCTTCTCCCAGGTAGCTGTCCGTTAGTGTGGTAGTTTTCAGGTGGACCCCCCACCCAGTAATAGTGACTATAAGGGATGATAATAGGGTTTAGGGTTTGGGGTAGTGACTATAGGGGATAATAGGGATTATATTAGGGTCCTCTTATATTCCTATTATACCACTATCACAGGGTGGGGGGTCCTCCTAAGGTAGTTTCCTTGAATGAGGGGACCTATATGTAGACCCTAAAATATTACAATCCTTCTTATAGGGACCAGGGTACCCCAATGTAGTATAGTCCTTGTTTTGGGGACCTCTGTATTGAGGTAGGGGAGGGATAGGACTGCGGAGTTACTGCGGAGGCTGAGATGTTAACATGTTTTGTCCAGACATATCCAGACCAAAAGCTATTCAACTTACTGGGGCTTAGTAGGGATAAGGGAGTATGTTATGTAGGGTTTAGGGTTTAGGGCTTAGAGTTCAGGGTTTAGGGTTTAGGGTTTCAGGGGTAGGGCCTATGGTTTTAGGTTTAGGGTTTGGGGGTATACCTGGATCCCTAGGGATTATGTAGGGATTATATTCCTTCGTTCTCTACTAGCCACCAGTAAGTCAACCTCTGCAAAACTGAGCTTGCCAATCCCAATGCACCCATATCTTGGCTTCCACATGCTTCCACTATCATAATTATTTTTATGTCAATTAGTAGTATTAGCATTCCTATGTTGATTACTATTGTCATTTCTGTTGCTATTACTAGTATTACTCCCTAAACCCTAAACCCTAAACCTGAAACCCTAAAACCCCTAAACCCTAAACCCTATTACTATTGCAGGTGGAGGAAAGGCTGATGTGTGGCACACTGGCCGAGTGCAAGAGCCTGGCAGTGCGGCTGCACATCTGGGCGCCGCCACAGAGTGACGAGGTTTAGAGTTTTGGGTTTAAGAGTTTAGGGTTTTAGGGTTTCGGGTTTAAGGGTTTAGGGTTAGGGTTTAGGGTGTCCTCCCAAGAACTGAGTAGCTTCCATTTTCTTTTCCATTATCCCTATATAACGCCAGAATATGCTATAGTACCTGAGTTGTTCTTGCGGGCCTTGAAGTTTCTACCTGACCAACATGCTCTACATGTTGCAATCAGTTGTGAAAAAGCCCTGACAAAGCATCCATTCAGCTAATCGCCACTGGTTGCTTGTCTTGCCACCTCGGAGGTGTTGCTGCACAAGGCGGGGGGAGACATTGTCCGAGCATCGTGACTAGATGGAGCAAATTGCGGATTGGAATCCAATTTGCTGTCCCTCCACCTAAGCAGTCAACTCACCGATCTTCCATGATTGTCAGTATGGCGAGTTCTCCAAGATGCAGCTACCGCCCTTGCTGTTCCCCGAGTGCAACTCCTGGTTGTTGCGATCTCCTCACGGGTCTTCTAGTCTTAGCATGTTCTAGCAGGATGTTCCGGTGCTGGTACTTGAAGGGCTTGTGTGTTCCTACTCAGACAAGTAGGTCTCAGCCAGGTATTACTTGCGGCAGTTTTGCCACCATCTTGTCTTGTGTTCTCATTCCCATAGAACACGAAAGGCTCCATGGTAGAACCTCATAAATCATGCTTATCTCTATGATTCAAACTACTACATTATTGTTGGCATATGATTTTTGATATCCTTGTTATCTTACTATAGTTATGATTAGGATTATTGTGAGCCGGCGAGGCGCCGGCGCTGCGTGACTCCGGGGCCGCGTGCACCGTTGGCGACTTCCTCGCCCTGGCAATGCCTCCTCTGCTGAACCCGGCTGGCGATGGCCTGGCAGAAGGTGTTGAGCTCCTGACACAGGGCTTGATGCTTGGCCTATTGGGGGCATAATATGGGATAATGGAAAATAAAATGGAAACTACTGTAGTATATTGGGGTTATAGTGTGGGATAATGGAAAATAAAATGGAAACTACTATAGTATATTGGGGTTGACTGCTTGAGGTGATATACTTTCCCTATTAAATCAGGCGACACCAATGTGGACCCCGAGGTGCTATAATCCTTATAGGGACCCCTCAAAAAGGTACCCCTACTTCTGGAAAATCAACAGATCACAAGTGCCAAGGCCAGGTCTTTGCATGACTGTCCCTACCGGTGCTTAAGGGAGAGTGGGGTAGTGAATGTAGGTACCATGTATTTGTTCGGTGGACCTCCCACCCAGTAGTAGTGACTAGAAGGCATAGTGGTGATTATATTAGGGCCCTCTCATATTCCTAGAATACCACTATTACAAGGTGGGGGTCCACCTGAGGCATATATGTATATATATCTATATATACATAGATATATATTTATGGAGTAAATAGGGATCATAATGGGGGTCGACTCCGCCGCTCCCTTAGACACCCTAAACCTTAAACCCTAAACCCTTAACCCTAAACCCTAAACCTTAAACCTTAAACGTGAAACCTAAAACCCTAAAACCTTAACCGCTGGCTTCTGAGGATGGTTCCCTTGGACACGCCATTGTTCTGGCTGGCTCTGCATGCTTGCTATCTGGACCACTTTGTGCACCTGATTCAAGGCTGAAGTACATAATGTAGACCCCTTATTGATAGTATAGTATATTATAGTATATTACAGTATAGTATATTGTGGCATATTACAGTATATTACCGCGTATCATAGTAAATTATGACATATTGTGGTATACTATAGTATATTATAAGGCCATAGACCCCCGATTTATACATCCCTCTCCTCTCAATAGGGATCATAATTTGGATCCTCATATGAAGGCCCTTACAAAGAGGGGATTTATTAATCGGGGTCTACATTGCTTGCCTTTGTGGCGGGTAGGGAGTTTAGTGCTAGGGGGAGGGGATTATACCATAAGTTCTACTGCCTGGATGTGTGGCCACCTTAGGCATCCTTTCTTGTTGATGCCCAAATGCCACATGCACCGAGGATTGCTCGGGTGCCTGAAAGCTTTCTGAAGCTCGCCAATGACGGTGACCCGTAAGCTGCGTCTGTGCCAAGAGCTGGTACGTATGTGATGCCTGACAGAGAAGGAAGACACAGCTCTTGAACAAGCATCCTGTCCATCATATTGCTAGTCGACTGCTTGTAACTGTTCCAAGGTGAAGGTTCCTTAAAACTTCATTGCCGTGGGCCTTGCAACAGCAGCTTCTGGCACGTATGTACATAGATATCGGAACCTGGCTGCCCCGCTGTCATTCAGCTGCTTGCAGTTGTGGCTGTGCCACTTCTGGCAGGACGAGATGAAAGCATTGCTTCGAATTGACGCACAGACAGAGCGAGGCTATGCGTGGGGAAAGATAGCAGTGTGATGTTGCGCACAGCCTCTTGCCGGTGCAGCTTAAGATCCAGTCCAGCCGACCATGCCATCCATGAGGCAGTTGCCCAGGCAAGTGAGCTCACGCGACATGTAAGCGCGGCCTGCTTTGCTCCAGCTTCCACGTTTGGCAATTGCTACCTCGCCCATAAGCACCACGTTTGCAGCTGAGTGCAACACTAAATGCAACAGCTCGAAGCATAACCTTGCAAGGCTTGTGAGCAGCAACTCCGAAGACTCGCATTGGGCAAGGTGGATCTACGGGAACTTAAGCTTGATCAACTTATGCAGGAGGAGTTGTTCCGACTAAAAGTCGATTGAAAGAAGACACAGAAGGCACCGAGTGCACTGAGAGCCCCAGATTTGCTAGAGCTGTCGCTCCTGCTATTTGTGCAGTCTTGCACCGCCATGTGCTAGACTGCAGATGCTATGGCTGAGTCAGCCTGGACCTTGACAAACAGTTCTCTGTTTAGGGCTTAGGGGGGTCTACGGTTTAGGGCTCACAGTCCCCCTTAAGTAGATAGAATATGGTTTTGGGTATATTATAAACAGATCCCCATGTACCCCATATTCTGTCTACTTAAGGGGGACTATAGGGCTTGAGGGGCGAGAGTTGAGCGACCAGCATGCATTGGCATACCAGCCTTGTGCAAGGTCAGAGGAATGGGCATGGCTGAAGCAACTGAGACTAAAGAGACTTGGTTGCCGTTAAGGAACTTGAATTAAGTTACTGTAATGAGAAAACCCTATTAGTTCCTATACACCCACATTATGGTGAGTTAAATTGAGTTACTGTAATGAGGAAACCCAATTAATTTCTATACACCCATATGATGGTAAACTTCAAGTAAGTTCCGTAAACCCTAAACCCTAAACCCCAAACCCTAAACCCTAAACAGCAGCCCAGGACAAGGAGGCTAAGGATGACCGCGGCGAAGAGGAAAGAGATGATGAAGAAGAGGAGGAAGAGGAGACGCGGACAGCTGAATGCTCTCCTCATGCTTCTATGGGAATGCTTTAGGTGGACCCCCGTGGCTATAGGGGATAATAGGGGATTATATGAGGGTCCTCTTATATTCCCATTATACCACTATTGCAGGGTGGGGGGTCCTCCTAAGGAATGCTGCATAGCAGCAACAGCGCGGCAACAGCAACATCAATACTAATCATACTAGAAATAGTACTAAGTGATAATCATGAGAATAATCTTACTCTCCGATTGAACATGGCATGCAGCCCTTGTTTGACACCGCCATGCAGGACTTGCGCAAGAATCCTCCTCTTCCGGGCCATGTAGACCACCACTGTACAGCCTGCAGCTCAAACATTTCGCAGGTCTCATTCAAGTGCCAGGATTCTCTGGCAAATGCCCTAAACCCCAAACCCTAAACCCCAAACCCCAAACCCTAAACCCTAAACCCCAAACCGTAAACCCTAATCCGGAGTGAGAAGGGTAGAGGTGGGGCTGAAGTGGCAGATGATTTCACAGCGAATTTCAAGCCCAAATAATTACCACCATTCCTTTTGGGCCCGAATAGTTACCAATATTCCTTTTGGGGCTTAGGGCTCAAAATGATCTTGGTAATTATTCAGGCCTGTACTAGCTGGTTACACTTTCTGATGATGGCGAGCGCCCAGGATATCCGGTTCCTGATGTTCTTCTTGCTGGTGTCAGCCGGCTATCACCTTACGACGGCAATCTGTTCAGAGGGCAGGCAGACAGATTTGGAATTTCCAAAAAAAACACACTACCACTGTTTAGTGAATTTGCTGTTAGAATACGGGTGATTAGATAACCCCTAAGCCCTAAACCCCATTTTGGACACAGTAATTCACGCCAAGTCCCAGTTTCTCCAGGAAGCAATGTGAGTAGCATTTTGTTGGGGATACTATGGTACCCATGTAGAATAAGATTGTACCCTCCTTTTGGGGTATCGTATTTTATATTAGGAACATAATCTTACTAGGTTCAACCACTAAAAAATCGCTACTCATGTGTGGCTGTTGTTTAAGTTTTTAAGATTCAGTTTTAGGATCCTGTTTAACGGTAAGTGCACGGCCTAGCAAACAATGGCGTGTATTGTCTGGGGCTCAACGCAATGGTCGGTTTGCCTACCTTGCATCCATCTTCCCGGTTTGGCCTCGAAAATATACTGCCACTGCTAGTTTCACTTATAAACCACCATATAGCCCCAGTTTCCATGTCATTTCCATTTGATTCTCCATTGTTGTGGTACACTCCTATATAGTCCCAATATAACCCTATATCTAGTAACCATTTAATTTTCCATTTTCTTTTGCATTTGATTCTCCATTATTCCTCTTCACAGTATATCTCTGTCAGGCTCTGTTGGTTCTTTTCATTACTGGAGGTTAGTAGAGAATAGGGGAATATAAATAGGGTTTAGGGTTTGTAGGGAAGAAAGGAATATACTCCCTACATAATCCCCATATAACATATTCCCTTACTCCCTACTAACCCCTGAAGTTTCTGACATGTGCACATGCGAAAGTCCAGACGTTTTGAAGCCGCGGAAGAGATAACAGGGATTACCTTGGGAGATGTTCCCCAATGATGGAGAATCAAATGCAAACAGGTCAATGACCTTCAACCCACAAGAACATACGTGTAGCGATCATGTAGTTGCAAACCCTCTCATATACAGGGGAGAATAGAATAGGGACAGTCTAAACGCATTAAAGGGGGGGCTATATATGGGAGTATTATAGGGGTTATTAAGGGGGATACCTGGAGTTTAAAGTTTAGATTATAGCTCATATGGGGATATATTGGGGAATGGAAAAGAAAATGGAGACTACCACTTAGGGTTTAGGGCTGGTAAATTCCCGAGGCATAGTCTGGATCAGCTGGGACGCCATAGACCGGGGCAACATCTGGAAACTTGGCCACGGGTGCGCCAGGTTTG